AATAAATAATAGACCACACATAGGGGTTAATTTTGTTTATATTTTTGCAACATATTTGTTTTAGATCGTCTTTAGTATGAGCAAAGGATTTTTCGAACTAAACTAAACTTTTTATAAATATGAATATTATTTTTCTGATGATCCCTGCATCTATGCATTATCTAACTCAGTCATTTCTGATCATTAAGCTTTGATTCTCAGAGTCTGGTATCACATCTAATGAAGCATGTAAGCATTCCCTATGACATCACACAATTCACATGATCAATTTATTTTATAGTAAAAGCATCTAACAACATATTCAAGATAACATTTTAATGTGTTTGATAATTTATGAGAGTTTATTATGTATGTAAACAAGGTTAATAAAGCTCATAATATCTCAATTATTTTATTTGCCCCGGGTGCCTTGATTTGCGGTTACTATGGCAACCCTTTCTTATCTAATATTTCTGTTATACCAAATATTTCTTGATAGATTAATACAGTATTCTATACTGCAGATTCTATGAAAATTTCATGAGAATAAGTTGAAAAATAAAAAAATTAGAGAGATATTATGAGAACTTTATGATATACCCTCGTATGTAATTGAAGCATAGCTTTATAAATGGAACTATTTGTTGCTTTACTTTGTATCAATTTACCCCAACAATTTACCATTCTTGTTTTAATGTGTATTTCCAAAGGGTAGCGCCCCAATTCACCATATATCATGAATGAGGGTGTAGTTGCTTTTACTCTGAGTATGTATTTACAAAGTTTGAGGTGTAAGACTTCACAATTTTTTATAGCCTTCGAAAATCCCCATATTTCACAGCCATAACACAAAATAGGTAATATTAACATATCAAACAATTCTAATTGAACATCAATTGGTAAATTCATTTCTGTACACTTTCCTAATACTCCATACATGGCATTTTCAGCTTGTTTCTTTAATTGATCAACACCCTTTCTAAAATTACAATTATATGAAAATAAAACTCCTAAATACTTAAATGTGTCATTAATTTCAACATTTTCCCCATTGTATGTAAATCTAAATAAACCATTGGGTTTTCTTTTTGAGAAAATAATAATTTTTGTCTTTTTTGTGTTAACAGACAAATTGTTGATATCACAATATGACTTAAGACCATTTAGTCCTTTCTGTAGCCCTTCACTTGTGTCTACTTCTACATACCTTCAAAAGCTCTAAATTGGTTGGAAAATACGCTTACAAAATCTTGGTCGTATTTCACCGGAAGGTGCACATGGAACATACCCGGATGTAGATCTACTTCCCGGAACTCTATTTTACTACGCCAAAAACTGTACATTCTTCGAACGACTCTTCAAGGCCACATAAAGTATTTTATTCCATAAAATATCTTTTACTTTGACACTATCATTCTCATTTCCCTAATTGAATTTTCTACCAATAATTTCATATGACAAGGAACATAGCGTTCATCAGACTTCACTACAGATTCAGGAGGGCAATGGACGTCAATTACGTCATTCACTGGCTTGTATGTCTCAATGCACATATTTTCATCACATTCTACCACCCTAACCTCTGAGTTGTGTTCCATAGCAGTTGTAGTGAATATGTAGCTTCAATGGAGTCTTATGTTAGTTAATTGAGACTTCAAGCAATGCACATGAAATCGAACGGGAAACAAGTACGTATAAATCTCCCTATACAAATGCATGTAGTTTTCTCACAATGTTTACCTAATCTCTTGCAAATCTCCTGTTCTAAACACAGATCTGAAACTGATCGGGTATCTGAAGTAGACTAAGTAGCGCTTGTTTTGAATGTGCACTATTTATTGGCTTTGCGTTCACAGTCGCGTTGTGAAAAATATCGCTAATTTGCCAACTAGTTACACCCAAATCAGTTTCCACTTTCTAAACAATATTCCCTTCTTGAGTTTCATCCTGTCCCACTGTGCCCAATTTTGCTTCAAGGTAAGTGACTGAAATTTCAGACCACTCTGGCATAAACACATCTGCGAGGAATGTATTCACGGACTCTTGGCCACAGCCATTACATGATTTTGTATAAGATCTCAATATTATCAATAATGGCGGTGGATCATTTTGAATCATTTTTTTAATATCATACAACAAATCACAGAGTACAAATAAGCTGCTCTATTGTAAAAACATGTCTATAACATACTTTTACAGTTTTAGCATTCTAGTGGGTACGATTTTTGAAAAGAGCATCCAATTAAGGAACTCAGGAGTTTTTATTTTTTGATCCTTTTCTTCTCAGGGCATTCTTAAGTTTTGCGGTCATCGTGGCACTTATAGCAAATGTGCTCATCGTTTTAAGTGGCAGAATCTACCATTGTTCCACCTATCACAAAAGCTGTTCAGTATGGCATGCTTTGTAACCTACTATTACTTGCTTAACTTATCCCTCACTTGGTTCTGATTGTCAGAAGTTTAGATGATCACATAGGCACCAGATTTTATAACACAGAACTTAGATCCGGCCCATCCGAGCATCTATCTTTGTCCTCACATTCCATGTCTTGCCTCCAACAGGCAAAATCTTCTTTCTTGTAAACATGTCTATTGACAGGCCATAAGCCCGTCGACCTGAAACCATTTATGGCCTTTTAATGTGTGACAACGGCTTGGTAGGCCTTGCCAAAAATTAGAGTGAGGTTTTCTTGTTGAATGATACCATAATGATGCACAGCCCCATGTAAGTCAATACAGCCTTACTGAACTAAATGGCCCCAATCTCAGCCTATGTGTGGCCGAGCACTTTAATATTTTCCAAAGAGTTATATGACTATCTATTCATGTTACACCTAAGAATTATTCATTTTGACCATAGGGGTATTTGCCAATGAACGCACCTCTTCCTTTAGATTTTTCGAGAAATATGAAACGTTTGCAACTTCTCACTGTTAACCAACATGGTTCGTAGTTCATGGTTCATTAACAGATGACTCAAAGATATTCATAGAAGCATAATATTTGGAAGTAATCGAAGGTAAGTGAAAATATAGTTGTTCTGATTTGACTTCCGGGTTATCTGAGATGAAGTATGTTACAACTTTGTCCCCGAATTTCTTTCCCTTAAAACCCTCGGATTTCCTGAAATCACCCGGGGGAAGATTCAAGCAATCATGAAAAAAACCTGATCCCAACAGGCCCAGGACTTTTTCCCTTGCCTTTTCTGAAAAGCCTGTCTTATTTGCCCCATTTTTGAGATTTTAGCTCGTGTATTTGTGACATATACTGGGCCAAGTCACTCGGAGTGTGATGGGTATGGACATTAACAAATATCAGAAACACTTTCTGCCTTTCTTCAGAGAAACTGAAAGGTCTTGTTGACCAGCCCATGCTTTTCCGCTAGTCGCTGCTTGTTTGTCAGTCACTGCTTGTCTGCCAGTTTAGCTTGCCCATAAGAAGTTCACCCGACAGCCTCTAGATCTGCTCATTGGATAGGGGGACACCCTGGGTTCTTGTCGTGGATTTGGGTTTTCATGTTGATGTAATATAAGTTTTGCCTGTTCAGCCCCTGGGCACTAGAATGTGCAGTTTACTCTCTTGCAACGTAGAGTCATTTTATGTGGATTTGCATTTATGCTTTTCCAAAAATCTATATTCTTTGACAATTTACCTTTCACGTTTTTTATTTCTTTCATGTTGTTTACATCAGACTGATGTTTGTCTGGACCACAGGCACTAGAATTTATCATACTCAACTAATTTGTTTTGATTTGATTTGCAGACCCCGTCACTTGACCAATGTCCGGTTTCACCATAGGATCAACAGACCTCATTCCTGCGGAAATTGGAGCTGCTTTGCCACTTCTGGCCACCATACCAGGATGGTATTTGTTGTTGGTTTCCTTGGTCAGGTTGTCCACCATTGGTCCAATCGTTATTCCAGCCATTGTTCCACTCAGATTGAGCATTGGTGTTGCCGCCTCTGCCTTGGTAGCCGCCCCTTTACTGGATCCATGCCGTCCTTGTTCAGGAAAGTCTTTGCACTCTCCAAAGTTTCTAAAACGTCCATATTATGTTCATATTGTTTTTTTGTGACCTTTCTTAGAAAAGCTCGTCTCGGAAGTTTTCATCTTTTTGTTTGAAGACGATTCACCAGTGATTTCTCTCTTCAGAGTCGTCATCGAACATCCATCATCTTTCCTATTTGATTCAACAGAGCTTCACTGTTATCCATGGTTGGAAGTTGAAGTGCACTGATGACGGTTAAAATAAAAAGTACTAGTACTGAAAAATGCATGTTTTAGTGAACTGTGTGTAGGTCCGCAGATCAAGCCGAAGTGATCAAAAACACGTTGGCCATACCAGAACCAATAATAATAGCCAATGAAATTAATTGTACTTACTGAACAATGCCAGACATTGCTCTGACATTGCTCTTTCTCTAAAGTAATATAATTAAAATGATTTCTGATAAACTTCTTTATTCACTTGCTTTTCAACTATTTAAAAGGTCAAGAGATATAACTGGTCAAGAGTCAAGACATTATTTCATGAGTTTTTCATGTTCTAACTCACAGTCACTAAAATCAGAATTGTCCTCCATACCACTGTCTATATGTATCAGAATCTATACACTATGCTGGGCTGCTGGTAAGGTATCAGCACACTTTAATTATAGTAACCAAAGAAACAACTTTCTAACAATTCAAAAAGTCAAGAGATACAACTGCTCAAAGATCAAGATATTGTTCCATGAGTTTTTCATGTTCAAACTCACAGTCACTAAAACCAGAATTGTCCTCCATACCACTGTCTATATCTGTATCTCAATCTACACTATACTTGGCTGCTGCTGGTATTGGATCAACAGCAGTGTGTCTGACTGCTTCAAGACCTTGACCATTGTTTGGGCTTACTTGCTCAGTACCTGAGGGCCCTGCTTCTGGCTCAGATTGTCCTGGATTAGTGACTGAGGGACCTGCTTCTGGTTCAGTAGCAGAAGGTCCTGGTTCTGGCTCAGTGTGTACTACAGACAGTGTGTTTCTGTTCTTTTTATTATTATCAAGTACAATGCCACCTCCATCCTGTACAAACTGATCTATGGCTCTTGTAGGATCATATTCCTTTATAGGCTCACTGTTCAATTTAATCAGCAGAAGTCTGTTTAAATTGGTGTTTGATAATCTTTAACTTTGAAAAGCCTCTCTCAACTCCAGAACTGCTCCCTGGTATGGTCAGAACTAAATCCATAAGCGCAAATACATTCTGATGTCCTGCATAGTACAATCTGTTGACTGTGTCCCAGGATAAATTGTGGACTTCCTTAGTGGTGCTGGAAATATGTAAATCGGTAACACAAGATGGCGAACGCGGTCGATCACGGAGACGCTTTGTCTTGTTTTGCAAGGATAGATGCAAATATTGTAAGAGTCCTTACTACAGTGGAAGATAGGGCTAAAGATGACGTTATTGACGAACTCCTGATGGATTTTGAAGCTGATCAACTGGAAAGCTGTAGAGATATATTGTTCGAATCGTGCGAGACGAAATTATTGAATGAATGCATTGAAAAATATGGACCTGATTTAGGTGGGAATAAACCTGTGCTGAAAAAGGTGACACGACGGGACGGGAAATCAAAGCTGAATTTAGTTGGAGACGATATCTACGGTATGTACGTTTACGTATCAGGTCTTTCAACAACGTTCCCAAGAAATGTTGTCACATCCAGAAGCGTTGTCCCAGATGTGACAACGTCACAGAATATATTGGATAGTCAAAAACAAAGGCCAATGGATGCAAAGTTTCTCGACTTGCAATCTAAACTTGAACTCTTACATTCTGAAATGACTGATCTTAAGAAAGAGATGAAGAGCAGGGACGCTAAGATTGAATATTTATGCAAAAAAGTACAGGATTTGGAGACGGATTCGAAATCCAGGGCCGATAAAATTGCATCATGTGAAGCTGAACTGGACAGGCTAAACAAGGTCATTGATTGCTCCTACATAACTATAGACTCTATCGAATCTGAAAATGGAGCCAATTTACAAGTTACAAGCAGTCAAAATCAAGGCCTATCCTCGAATCAAGGTGATCCAGAAAAAGGCGCGAAAGTGAGTAGTGGTAAAAACTTGAGCGCCGAATCAGAGACTCCTTCATGTAAGCCTAACCAGGATGTAAACAATAACAACACAAAACAGGCATGGCCGAACGGGAAAACTTCGCGGCTTCCTTTGGAAGCAAGTAGCAGTACAAACTCTTCGAGTGCGTCTTACGCGGATGCTATCAAATCCCCGCCTGCAAAGGGAGATAATGACTGGATTATGCATCAGAGTAGGAAATCTAAAAGACGCACGGAACAAACACGGAGGACAAGTACGGAGTCGGAGCAATGTTTTAATTTTAAACGTACGGCTAATGCTAGGATTAACAGGAGCAGACTTTTTATGGGCATGAAACCCGTTAAAACGATTCAAATGTACATTGGCAATATCTTTTACCCTCCTGAATCATCATTCGCTGAAGTCATGGCGTCCGTCAACGACCATCTTAGGCATAACAAAGTACGTGTAATGAACTCATATATCATCCGTAATCGGGTCAGTAGTGATACTTTCGGCATAAAAATGACAATACCCGATACGCAGCGCGATGTGATGCTGAGCGATTCCCTTTGGCCCGAAAACGTCACGTGCAGGGAGTGGTCACGCGAGCCTCCAACACGTACACGTCGTAACTACGGATCAACGCCGCGTGGTGGATTTTGGCGCGGAACATCCTATGAGAGGACATACGACAGAATCAATGATAATGAAAAACACCGTGAAGATGTTGACATCGCCGGTTATAGTACCGATGACAGCGTTAACAACGCCGACAACGCCGACAAGGATGATAGGATGTGGCCAGGCTATACGTCAAAAAGATGGTCTGATTGGGACGATTGCTAAAACGACTTCTGCCTGTAGCTTATGCAAGAAACATGCTTGTAAATATGTTTTATATACATTTTATTATGACATTGCTATCCATCACGGGTTATAACGTGAATTGTCTTAGTACAAAAAGACATTATGTACGTGAACTGTGTAATTCATCCGATATTATTTGTATATCAGAACATTGGTTATATCCAAATGAAATTGGAACATTGAGTGAATTACACGAGGATTTCTTTGGTATAGGAGTCAGTAGTAGCGGTTTAGAGCCATTGAATAAGGGTTCTCATATAGGGCATGGCGGGGTTGGGATCCTCTATAGAAAGAACATCAATGCAATGCCAGTGTATTTCGAATCGGACAGAATAGTAGGACTTAAAGTTAGATGGAATGATTGTTTTATGCATATTCTGTCAGTGTACTTACCTCAACCTACTTGTGTAAGGGACAGTTTTGATGTTGTGTTAGATACACTTGACGAATGTCTGCAACAAGTCAGGGGTATCGGTGAGGTCATCATTGTAGGGGACATGAATGCTAATCTTGGGAATTTGGTGACCGACATGGGTCAAGGGGACCACTCAAAAAATGGTAGACTCTTGTATAATTTTATGCTAAGGAATGGGTTGATATGTGCTGATATGTCAGATTGTCGTAATGGACCCAAGTACACGTTTTATAAAGAACCCAACATAAATATGTATATTGATCATATATTAGTTACAGCACCTCTTATAAGATGCTGTGTTACATGTGAAGTACACGAGGAGACCCTACTGAACACATCTGATCACCTCCCCTTAACTTTAACTTTGACTATTGCGGCGACAAATTCAGTGTTTTGTAAGGGTAACCTTGAGGCATTGAGGGCAGTTAATGTAAAATGGAATAAGATCAGTGAAAGTCAAATTAAATCCTTGTTCACTGATGTGGTTTCAAGTAAACTTATAGATGTAGAAAATGAGTTGAGTAGGACCCCCTCTTTATCAAACAAACAAATTAGCAATTACTTCAATCAACTTGCTAAGCTCTTAAAGGATACTTCGCACAACAATCTACCCAAAGGGAAATTTCGTAAACACATTAAACCCTATTGGTGCCCGGAATTGAAAGTTATGTATAAACAGAAAATGATTGCATATCATACTTGGCGGGAAAGTGGAAAACCGAGAACGGGTCGAAACTATGCTATTTATAAAAACGCGAAACGCGAGTTTAGAAAATTGCTCAGGAATAAACAATACGAACATGCAATGGAAACACAGAGAGAGCTAGACGTATCGGGCAATATTAATATTAATGACTTCTGGCGGTTAGTTAAAACTAAACGAAAGGGGAATGGGAAAAATGTGTTACAATTGAGGGGTGACAATGGTAGTATTTTAGACACGGAAGTAGATATTTGTAACGAGTGGAAAGCGTACTTTCAAAAACTTTATACACCTGCAAATAATCCTGTTTTTGATAACGGCTTTAAGCAAGAGGTCGAAGGCGCAATTCATAGAATTGATCAATTAACGCGCACCCAAACTGACGATAATTTACAGGAACCGTTTTCGGAAGTCGAAGTTATCGCTGCTATAGATAGATTGAGATTAAATAAAGCACCGGGGCACGATCTTGTCACCCCAGAGCATATAAGGTACGGTGGTACAAGGTTAATCTCGGTCTTAACGTATCTATTCAATGCTATAATCGAAAATGAGTTCTTTCCGGATTCTTTTAAAATAGGGGTCTTAATAACGTTATTCAAAGGAGGGAACAAAGATATTTTAGAAAAAGATAACCATAGGGGTATCACGTTAATGACCATATTTAGCAAACTATTTGAAAATTTATACATAGCACGAGTTAAGGCCGATAATAACATTGAACCGATACATTGTCTGCAAGGGGCAGCAATAGATGGTACTTCTTGTATCCACACATCGATGGTCGTGCGGGAGACTGTCGCGCATAATGCGGACAGGGGTAGTGATACATATATAGCATCATTGGACATTAAAAAATGTTACGATTCTGTCTGGATAGATGGGTTGTTGTATACACTCTTTAACCAAGGTTTCAAGGGGAAAATATGGAGAATTTTGAAAATTTGGTATTCGGATTATCAATGCAGGGTTAGAGTGGGAAAAACTATGTCTGATCCTTTCTTCATTAACCAGGGAGTCCATCAGGGGGGTGTCTGTAGTTTGATGCTCTATATGCGTTTCACAAATAGCCTCTTAAAGGAACTCGAACAAAGCAATGCTGGATGCAGAATCGGCAATATTAATGTAACCTCACCCACATACGCCGATGACCTGATCCTCATGGCTGTGTTCCCAAGGTCCTTACAAACATTACTGGACATAGCATATCGTTTCAGTACGCGATGGCGTTTCACCTTCCACCCTGGGAAGTCAAAAACGTTGATGGTTTGCACTAAAGAGAGACAGGGCCGCAAAGACTTGTGTTTTTACCTTGGACCAGATAAAATGGATCATGTCAGAGAATGTACACATGTGGGTCTCATTTTAAATACAAATGGTAACTTGAAACAACATATTGATAATGCAATGGGAAAGGCTAGAAGGGCTATCAACGCGGGGGTGGGGCTTCTCAGCAGTGACTCCTTCGAATACAATCCACTGACGGCCTCTATTTTATATTGGTCCATATCGGTACCATCCATGACATACGGTATGGATATCCTGCCATTGAAACAATGTGATTATGATTCCCTTGAATTGACACATAGACAAATAGCAAAACGTATTCAACAATTGCCATGTAATGTGCATAACGAAGCTTCCTTGGCACAACTGGGCTGGTCGAGGATTCGTGCGGTCATAGATACAAAAAAGTTAATGTTTCTGTGGTGTATCCTAAATCTACCAACCACATGTGTGTATAAAATGATTTTTATAATTGAGTTCTTTAGATGGAAGTCAATTTCTGAACATTCAAAGTTGTATAGCAACTATTCAGTAATAAATGCAGTTTTGAACCTTGTGACAAGATACAATTTATGGCGATATATTGATGAATATTTTTTGAATTATGACCTGATGCCCAAATGTGCGTGGAAACGGATTGTTAAAGCACGCATAATGCAGTATGAAGAAGACAGATGGCACTTGTTATGTAACATATCTAACAGACTTAGCGTTTATAGAACGATACAAGTTACGATAAAACCATGCGTATGGTGGAGAATCTGTCAATCGAATTGTAAATATATAGGGATGTGTAGGGATATGGTAAAACTGCTAACAGGTGCTTTCCCACTCAACTATGACACCATTTGTCCTCTGTGTGGGATGACAAATGAAACGACAAGGCATTTTCTCTTAGATTGCCTTGAACTTCATGAAAGTAGGAGTGACTTGTTGGCAGTTTTAAGTGACAGAATATTTGATGGATATAATATGGTTGAAAAAATGGAGGTCTTACTAGGAAAAAATGAAGCATTAGACTACAGAATGTATGTGAAGATAATGTTAAGTGTCAAACACATGTTAAAAACAAGAGCTGCAGCTATAGCTCTATAAACTATTAAATCAACACAGTTTGCGTTGTAAATATATATATTTTTATTTTTATATTTTTAATATTGCCACACTAACTTTATAATTATTATGTACTCATCTGCATAGGTGGAAATAAAGATACATAAACATAAACATAACCAAACAATTTACTCTCACTGTTATTTTCAGAACAATTCACATATTCAGTGTTATTAATTATATTGGAATATCATCTACATCTTGGATGTATACTGGTATTTTTTTTGATTGTTCAAACATTGATTTAAGCTCCTCACGTTTTTGGGGGGATTTCTTGTACAAGAAATAAATTCCTTGGAGCAGAAGAAGGACTGTCTTCTCATACAGCTTGAGGTTTTTAACACTATCTTTGAAGATTAACTCAACACGATGTGAATAGGAATGACTGGAATGGATTGATACAAGGGCAGGTTGAAGCTTTTTAAGTTGAGCTCCTACACCCTTGAATTCTCCTAGGTTGACGCTAGCCCCATCAGCTCCTAATGCGATCAGTCATGAAACGAATTCGTCCCAAGATAGGTATTCACACACAGATTGCTTCATGGCTTCTATCATGGTAGCATTAGCCTCTTTCATGTTGTTAATACAACAATAGTTTTTGTCACGCCTTTGTTTGCACTTCTGACATCTCTCATTTCCTGTTCAAGCATACTAACATCTGTGCTGCCATCACTTAAAAGGGCATAGAACTTGCTGTCAATCAAAGTTTGCTGTAGTTTTGATTTGATATCTTTGGATGTATATCTAACAAATTTCTCACATGCTTCAATATTTCTGTATGACTTGCCTACCATCAGCCCTTTCACCTCATCTAATTCACACATCCAAGAAAAATCTGAGAATGGTCGATTCTTCATTACCAAGGCTTGTGCTGTTCTGAATAGGCGCTGTAGAATTGACTGATTATTTTGGTGGAGCTTTGTTATGATTTTATAACCAGCTGTTTCTTTCACATTGGTTTTTCCTTTGACAATCAAGACAGTAAAGCATTACCCTATCTAACAGCCTGTCCACACTATATCTTACACTTTCAGCTCTCTTTTCCACTGCCAAACACCAGAACACTGGTAAACGCGAAGAATAAATTTTGAAGACCTGTTTCTACGTGGCATCTTGGATGTAAATAAAGAGCATAGTCTCGAAAAAAAACAATTCTACAATAGGTCGTTATCAGAATGGCAATAACCACGTATCCAAATCAAATATTTATTATCATTCCTTTGTGAACCAAATGAAACGACAAATTGCTTGATTTATAAACTAAATGAAATTTACATTTTTTCTGAGACTACAAAACAATGGCTGTCAGTGAAAAACTGGATTCACATTTTTACAAACATATCCATTATACGTTGGAAGAGGAGGGAAAGCCCCAGAGTTTAACGATGACAGACATAGTTACCTCTCTTGCGTACCACCTTCGTTCGTTAGAATTTTCATCGGCTAGTTATCAAATACTACACTCCGATGGGATGTTTTAATTGATATAGGCATATTCCGTACACCTTTCTTTATCTTGATGTGAAATGAGAAGCTATGATATTGGTTAACACGCCAGAAATGAACTTAATATTATTCGTAGCGTATTTCGAAAATTTTAAAACTGCCATTGATGACGTCATTTGTTTGTCGACTTTTGACCAATCAGCGGTATGTCAGTATGTCATCTTTGAACCCTGGTGTTTCTCCCCCTCTGATACGCTGGTATGAAGCCTTGGAGATATAATTTAAGGTGTATATTTTTCAGCACTTTGGGAGAGTTTGGGACATTAAATATTCAAATTCATCAAAATGTTTCAAATTTACTACTTATCGATTAATATCCATCAGGATTGTAAATACATGTATTTCATTAAAAATAAAATCATAAAAGTCAGCTCTGCATTGAATTGAAACTGATTGAATCCAAAATACGGTTTGTATCAATTTCATTGTCAATGCAGGAGTACAGTCTTCAAATTTTAAATTATTTTGCATTTTATTTTGTATCTTATTAGTTATCATGTTTAACAATTCATTTAAAAGCTATTGTTTGTTAAGTATATAAAGAACTCTTGCAATTGACTTTCCGTACATGATAAAAAATGGTTTATACTTTGTTGAAGCGTGTTGACTGATTGTAAGTGAAAACCAAACTTGGCAAAATCTCCTTCCATTCTAATTCAGTTCCATGGCCAGATTCCATTGAATCGTCAGTTTCCACTATGGTATTAGCTTGCTTAATATCATGGTCTCCAGTGTCTGATTGAATCGTTCTTGAAAAGAAAAGAACATTAACATATCACAAGTGTGAAGTCTTTAAAGCGGAGAATACAGCAGTATGTAACAATTAGCTATTTTTGTGGTAGTGTGGATGGCCAAGTTACTTTTGGGGTTACTAGATATTTGTGTTTACAGATTTACAAAACTACAGTCAATATAAACTTTATATACATTTATGAAACAAACACTTCCATACATGTATATGAGTATATATATGCTGTGTAATTCTGTATAATGATTTCTTATATTAATACATGGTACAACATAAACCAAAACCTAAAAATAACAATATAATACAATATCTTTGGACTTGAGCCTAGTCATGAATCGAGGCACTAACATCATGTCACTGAAAAAACATTGAAATGTGAATGAATATTTCTATTATTCCGAAAAAGGATCAGCTCTGATACCCCCCCACACCCTTGCTGTTTGGGCAGTGGTTTGCAGGTATAGGTGATCGGTGGTACCCTCACTGATGCAAGGAGTGTGTCCCGGGAGCTTGAACCGGTTTGGGAGCGACAATGGAGAGGTTAAGCTTTGCATATATAATCGAAACTGAACCTGTACGTATCACTCGACCATATACAAATTCATGTAGCCTTCTCATATAAATAGCCGTTCAAGTCCAGTGTTTGTTTAGACCAAGGGAAAGATCAATACCCGGTGATTTCAGCGGGAAGTGGCGTTTCGTTCAGTGGATGAGCTGCGCGCGCACGCATAAATGTGATTATCCAATATAATTAGGGGAGGGCTATTTGAAGTAGTTTTTGGTCTGAGGCGCGACCCAGGGCTGTTGTCTTAAGGACATTTCGTTGAAAATGAGCCATTTGGCTGATAATTGGTAAGAGTTTGCGATCTTATAATGTATAACTGTTACTCAGACACATATTTTGACACGATTCTGTTGGAAATAAGCTTTGAACCGAGAGATATTCACGATTGATATGCACATTTTTGATTGTGCCATTGCTTTTCTATTGCACAATCCATGTATTGGTAGAAGAAACATTAATAATGCAGATTGGTTTACCTTCAATACATGGCAGACACTACATATCGGTCTATTAATACCAGTTTGTGCCTTAAATAGTTTTATATTTCCATCCACGGCCTGGAGCCTGGGTGTGTTTGTCTCTTATGTGTATGCTTGTGCATGGACTTCTAATCACTAGCAGAATTTAACATGATGCAAACTCGACATTATAACTCATGCTGTAACATTTTGACTTCGCTGGAAAACAATAGGAATTATTTTTCTTGCCAATCAATCATGAATCACAATCAAAATTTCAGAATGATCAATCAGGCAATTGTCCAAATCAAGTTATAACATTATATGATATTCAGCAAGAAGTCCGGTAGAAATACAGAATATTTAAACATCAAAGCTGAAAGTTAAAAGCTAATCTGTCAATTTTCTGTCTGCAAAAGAGCGTTTACATTTGACACAATAACAGACTGAGGCTTTGAAATCTAGGATTCCCCAGGAAAATATGACGTCATACTAATTAGCATAAGGATTTCCCTATTGGTATGGGTCGAGCCTTGTTCGAAAACACAATCCATAAATACATGCTAATTTCTAAGGAGATAGGAAGTGTATAACGTGTTTATCGATTTTGTTTAAAGATTTAATCAATTATCAAATTGTTTAAGTGGATAAAGTGGTCACACTTGCTTCAATTCATAGCGAAATCGACGGATAGAAACTGACCGAATTCCCGATATCCTACCCCGTATTACTGTAGGCTATAAGCACAGTGACCTACAGAGGGCGCTATCACAAACAAGTACTGCACGAACCGATAATTCCCGGGTATTGTAACGCCCTTGTTTAGACTACACGATAGCGTGTAATGATTCTATAGTATGTCATTGATGCGGTTTTATAGCTGGTTTTCTAATACATATTTTAAACGAGCTCGTTTCGTAAGATTTTTGGCGCTAAATCATGCATGACATACATCATCGTGTTCAGCAAGAATTCAACTGTGCATCGAAATCAAAATTGACACCATAGTGTTCAATAGACACGAGTTAAATGGTTCCCGTTGACCCAACGTCAAATATTCAAATCTCCCGTTCTAAACCCGAAACTCTGAAGCTGAAAGAGTATCTGAAGTAGACTAAGCGCGCATAAAACTATGAGCGCTCGATACATTCCTTTGTTAATTTTTGTACTTTGCGTTCACGGTTACGTTGTGAAAAACATCGTTAGCTTAACCTCTCCACTGACCAATGAACGGGTGTTTAGGACTAGATTTTCCTTGCGTCATGATATTCCCCGGAAAGGAACAAGTCAAGAGAATGATAACCTAGTACAACTAGTACTGAAGGAAATGGCAATTTCCTTGGTCCGAAGGGGAATACACCGCTCAGTGGAAGTTGTTGTAGGTTACAAGTGTAACTTGGGGTTATAAAAACGATTGCCAAAGAGTGTTAGTGCCTAGATTGCGAAAAGACCAGAACCTATATATAAGATATATCGTTGAGGTGGCAGGGACTGGTGGTGGATAGCTAGCTCACTGAGCTGAGGATGTGTTGATCAATCGCTTGATACCACACTGAATACGATAGACTACCCTGAAGTTTACGATCAAGATGCGTGACTGGTTGATAGATAGGGGAGGAGTTTAGTAAGAACACCCATGTTTCCCCATAAATGATGCTTACTAAAGTAAGCTTCCATATATTGTGGCTTAACCAGCTCCAAAAATACTACATGAAATTTCATAAATGTCCTTTATGTTTCTATGTCAATATTGTTGTAGTTGTATATAAGTCCAATCTTAAAGATTGTTGTTAAGTCTTTTCACAAAATACACAGTGCTCAAGCTGAACCCTAGTGATGATTGTAAGGCTGCCAATGGTATTGGTGCTTTTGGAGTTTACTGGTTAATTGATCCCTCATCTACTCATGCACACATTTTATTAACATCAAACATGTAAATAAAAATAAGATGCTGACATCGACTAAGGTGACGAATGAAATGTCCAAATCCATAACACAGGTTCAGCAATTATCTTAGGTCTGGCTTCAGAGTAGGTTTCAATAAATTATTGAATCCAAGTATTGAAAAATATAAGTCAAGTCTATGAAGGCTGAACACTACGTCTATTAGCTCTCTGCTGGGGATAGCTTAACCCTCACTAAGTGCTGTCCAGTCCTGTAGATAATGACTATTCTACTATCATGTATCTGTATTAATTAAGTTCCAGGTTGAGCAAATTCAACAAGTTGCTCAGATTCTTTTATCAAAGTATAATATTCGCTAAGTCTCCTGATAATGGAAATAGTCTTAGTCTAAGTCCAACAATGAGCGAATTCCTCAGATTTCATCCAAGTATAATTATTTGCCAAGTCTCCTGATGATGGAAATAGTCTGAGTTCTACGATGATGTTTTACTCTTCACGTTTCACTGATTCTTATTAATATTAATTTTCACTTTAAAATATAAGTTAATTACTGCTTTTATATATGCTAACATAATAGTCGACTCAAATTATTTATCTCTGTTTGATTCTTGCATCCATGTCTTAGTCCACACATTACTTTTCTCTTTTCACCAATTGCTTAATTTTCCATTTTCAATTCGCACTATATTCATGTCCATCAGTAGTACAGGATTGTTATATATCATCTTAAAGGAAATTAAATATGCTGACCACACACCAAATTTCAGAGTGATTGGTTAAATTTCAAATTTTTCATTGAAGTTATGTCAATATTTCGCTTTTTAAAATTCTGTATTTTTCTCCCCAGCAGCTCAGACGGCCTCAGTTCTACGAAAATACGATTCTAAAATGTTCACAAATAGATGTGTTGCTGTTTCCAGACTTTTAAGAGCTTTCTTGATACATTTGAGCAATGTCTCATGGCTATGACCGTTCTCTTCTGGCTGATCTTCGATTAATTTCTCAACCCCTCCCTTCATAATAGAGCCCATGTGTTCTGCTTCATTTAAATCCGGGCTGTTTGCAGGATACTCATTATTACCGAAAAAGTCCACATTGGCTCTTACCAGCTCCTGTGTGGCCATGGCTTTCATACAGGGTGCACAGTCGTGTAAAAATGTCACTTCCTTCGGTTCAATAACATTTTCAGGGTTCTTCAGAAATGGGATGATTTTCTTGTGTAATACAGAATCCCTGAAGTATTCACCTGGCATTTTTCAGGAAAACATCGAAATATACTGATGCACGCAGGATGTCCTATGGATTCCCGGATTAGGAGATTCTAACATCTTCTCTTCGCTTAGCCCAGGTCCTATCATTCTGAGTATTAGGTTTTTTGTATGAATACACAAAAAACTCCAAAAGATAAAGCCAAGTGCATAACGTTTTGAACGGTCCACTTGTGAAAAAAGTCACAAAACCATAATCGATCTTCAATATGGGCTACAGTTTTAAGTGGTCTTGATATGATATAATCCCCCTTGTTTCTAAATGTGTTGAGCATCACACAGCATTACATATTTTTTTATTAATATGAGATTTCAGCAGAGGTCTCATTTACAAATTAATCAATTATAAAAAAATATTTGAAAATGTGAAAATATAAATTATGAGTGAACAACGATAAAAGAATCTCCACCTTGGCCTTGGAAAGTAGGTCAAGCTTTGAAGTTCAGATATTTTGTTTTAATTTTGTTTTCGGCTCCATTTGCCTAACATGTGGATCATCATATATCAATACATGATGATATCCCCACGTTAATTCAATTTTTCGAAAATGACATACATTGCATTTTTATCTTATTAATCATGACACTTAACAGAGCATCATTTTATCGATACTTTAAGTGTAAGGGACAATATTATAAAATTCAGAATCAGAGGGGTGCTATTTGTTGATTATTTTTTGACACTTTTTGGGTTTGAGACAATAAATCCAAATAATCTAAAACAATTTAATTTCACTGTTTTCTCGTAAGAGGTTACAAGGGGTACAATGCTATTCAGTGATTTCTATCCACTTCAAAAGTGTTTGAGTCAATTAGAATAAATTATAAAAACTTTCCCTTTCAATTTCAGTTAGAGGGTGCCTGAAGTCACAGCGCACCCATCACACATCTGTCCCCCATCTGACATTAATGTATGTTCATAGATTCAACCTTTATTGCCAACAAGATTATGAATCAAAATAGGTTTGACAATAAGTGCAACCCTGGGGATCACCTATGACAAAGATAATTAAAAACATAGATAAACAACAAATATATTCTTTTACTTGTCAAATCCTGAAGAACAACATAGATTAGCAATGAAATAAATGACAATTACTAAAAAAATACAAACAGACATTTTTAATATAACAAGTAGAATAAATATGCTAATCACCTTTCAAACAATCTTTTCATTCATAGATCACCAGTCACAAACTTCAAAAATATCAATATTTAATATTTAAAATTTTTATACACCCTTCATTAACAAATAAACAGTAATGTTGACATGTGCTCAACAGGTGAAAACATATGTAGGAACATGTGTTTTAACATTTAGACGTATCAAAAAGTATGGTGAATCAAGCGGAGGAAACAGCGTAACTAAGGCTTATCTGAAAATTTCCTTGAGGTCTATAGCATTGGCGATTTTTTAAGAATTTTATATGTGGCTACTTAAAAGCATATTACTTCTTCTGATGACAATTTGGCTAGTGATCAACCATTTTGAAAAAGGTGGCCTTTCTTATGGGTGTTATTTTATGATATTTGCTATATATTTCGTATGTAAAATTGCCAGTCATTTCTGGTTGATGGGATTCGCTACGCTTTGGCGTTGTCGTTGTTCTGGTTGTGGTTAGCCTGAACCTGTACATCAGTAGCTTTGGTCTTAAGTTCAGCTATGTCACGCTTCAGAGACTAATTTTCAGCTTTTAGAGTTTCAATTTTTTCATATATCCAGAGATCTCTTCCTTTTCAGTTTGTTTGAGACCCTCCAATAACTCTATCCTAAAGTCACCAAGGTCTCTTACTTTACGCAGCTTGTCAGGATGATATCTGGGCCTGGCAAACATATCCACCACATTATCAATGTCAATTGGCATACTATAATGGATGTGCATAAGGGCAATTCCAGAAAATAGCCCTGAAACCTGCTACAGTTTACATATAATTTAACAACGTAATTTAAAAAATGGTATTTGCTTATATTAGAATTAAACATGGTAAGCTTATGCAGTCTCAATCTTTTGTTAACTTCACACAGAAAGGATGGAGGCAGTAGTGATTGGAGTAGAAATCCTTGGCATGATCACTAGAATGGAAACAAAGTACTGATTATACTTGTATGTTACTTTAACATGATCTAACAGTTTTGGAGTACTTACACTGTTGTATGCAGAGACAACATCCTGTGCCTTGCCTTGAAGCTTCACTGTTATTCCTTGCATTGGTGACAGCATCTGGTAACAGCAGCTGGTAAATGGTCAAGAAGGTTACAAGGAATCCAAAGTCTGTTATCCCAGTCATGAGATCCATAGTTGTCTTTGATTTGCCATCCCACTGTTTCTGCACGGTGTCTCTGTCAAATCAATCATCCTCATTGTGGTCCCCAAGACTAATGACCTCGAATGCCATGACCTAAGATAAAATACCGTACTCACATGTTAAGCTTATGATAATAATATAATGCATTATTTTGCTTTTGTCCTTCACACCACTTTTTACACTGCAGCAATATATATATTATTATATTGCAATATCATGCCAAATACTTTTTCCAGACACACCTTTATTTTATGCATACAATCATAGGTTACTAACCTGCCAGGTTTATGACTGGTAGACGTGGCCGAAAGCTTCATGGCGTGCTGAACACCTGGTGGAGCAGAGGTCAATGAGGGGTTTTCTCATCACATTGTGGACACTTATATTTTTTGACAATTTCTTTGAGGAGGGTTTCTCGTTTTGGACTACTCAAGAATAAATTGCAGACTTCCTTCATCATACTCATCATGTTCCTAGCTTCAGGGATATTGGCAGCATGGACATAAACCAGGTTTAAGGCTGCTACAGTGGGTGTAAATTGCTTTAGGAGCCTGTCATCTGATAATTCCCTGGACACCAGCACGTGCACTGCTCATGTTAGGCGCACCATCATTTGTTTCACCATGCACAATACTGATATCCAGGTCTAGGGAAGTAAGTGGATCAGGGAGGTTTTGGGCAAGAACTTGTAACATATGGTGTTTTTTATAAACTCTAGGAATTCCTCACGCACTGTCATCGAACTGTCAATGAATGTTATACAAAGAAGCATTAGTTCTAAGTTATGGCTTGTCACCTCCTCTATCATAACACAAAACACCGAGCTAGTCGTACATCTTTGAGAATGGTTTCTCTCGTTAACTACAATATACGCTTTGCAAATTGTAACATGTTAAAATTGGAATAAACTTAAACTTAATACCATATCTAAACACATTAATTATTAATTCTTTTTTAGACTGGGCAGAAATATATGTTGCATTTTTTCTTGATGGGGCTTCTAAATGCTTCAGAAGGAGGGGACATTTTTCTTGGGTGACTCTTAGCAGGGCAAGAAAGTTACCAGGGTTTTTATCCATTGAGAGATCACCATTCTTGCCACAGAGGACAATGCCCTGTCTGCCACAATAGAGGATGGCTTTTGCGATGTCTTTCAGGACTACCTGGTTTTCTCTTATTTGCTCCTGTTGCCGAAACTGCATATCAATATGTGTACACACAGTAGTTTTTTTAAATCCTCTGATGCTGCCAAAGCGTCCACGTGTCCTGGTTGGACAGCATGACCTGTCTTGGTTATTTTCCTAGAATGCAGCTTCACAGCTTTTTTATTATCAGTTACAAATCCCTTAAGTTTTTCTGTAATTTTTGCCCATTGTCTGTATGGTTGATTCACAAGGACTCCTTTGGTATTCCTGTTCTTGGCGAACAGGGCACATGACAGACAATATACTCCATTCACCTCTTTGCTGTAACACAGCCAGCTGCATTCGGCCAACCACTTAAGATTAAACGATCCTTAAGATCCATTTAGTTTCTCAGTTGGAAATTTATTGGTGGCAGGAGGTTTGAAATGATGCTTGAGTATGTGGTATATCTGAGTATCACTAAAAAAAGACACTGCATTTGCACTTTCTTCACCTGTCAATCCAGGTTTTAGAATACAGTATGTATTATATCAGTATATACATGGGCCGTGTATGCTGAAGTTATGACTGGGCTTTCACATGGTGCTGTTGTTGAGCATGGTGTGCTACATGTAGTGCAGTTACGGATGAAAATGTGGCAGTGGAGGCAGTTGCTGTGGTTGGCATCCTACGATTGTCTGGAAGGTGTATTGAAAGGGATCCACTTCTGAAAGCTTCATCTGGCACATCAACATTATTTTAATTAATGACTTGCTTTTATTGAATTTTTAACATACCAGTGTCTTATAGGAGTCCAAGTACCAAGTCCAATTGCAATGGTATGAATGGGGATGTATCTCTCCTTGTTTGCACGTCCAGTGTGCATAAATCTTTAAGATTGTCTGTCAAATATGGAGTCTGAAAGTAATGCACTAGGATGACAAATACATGTGTGTCATCACACTTGACAATGATACGCTGGTCCTGTTTTGCATTTTCAATAGTGTGTAGAATGAGCATTATATCAGCCTCTTCATGACTACATGCAAGATGGGAGAGTTATTGATCACTGTTTGCTGTCAGCTTTAAAACTTTGTCTTTGTTTCAGAATCCACCAGCAAGAACTACACTCTGTCCCTTTTTGAGGTATTGAGGAGCAATGACCACAAGCATTTCACAAATGAAATTAGCAAGATTTGTTTTGCTGGATTCTTCAAGAATCTTCTAGAGTTAGGCACATTCCTTCCAGCAGCAATTATATGGGTAGTTGAGTCATCATTGTTGCCGCGCTTCTCACGTTCAGCAAATTTGATCGATTTGGGATTATCATATCTAACAAATACTACTGTTAGTGCATCAGTGGTACCTTTCAGAAACTTTAGGATTCTCCTTAAAACTGCATCCACCAGTTCCTCATAAGTCTTGAAAAGTTTCATTCATCGACTGCAGCAGAGCCATCCCACCAAAGATATAACTACTACTTCCTTCTTTAAGGTCTTCCATAACTTCTGTCACTCTGGCATATGATCCAGTATCTTTGCTAATTCACACTTAGCAGTTTTTCTCATTGTTACATCATCATTG